ACATTTTTAACAAGTAACTAATACCACTGCTATCAGATATGAGGTTCTGTTAAATCATTATGAGTAAACTGAAAGAAGATAAAAGTTCATTTATTTTGAAAAATATAATTTAGGGTCTCTCTTCATATTGAAATTGAATTATGTATATAATTAAAATGTTTTGAAGAGTAAATTATTTTTAAGCATGTTTATGTATGGTGGTTTTCTGTGTGTGTGTGTGTGTGTGTGTGTGTGTGTGTGTGTGTGTGTGTGTGTGTAGGGTTTGTGTGTGTAGGAGAGAGCAGTGATAACATTCATTTTGCTCTTTTACCGTGTAAGAGTGAAGTTAGGAGGTTTAGGGATATTTGGTAAATCAGAGTAGGAAGAGCTGTACATGTTGAGGATAAAGAAAGCATAGGAACCATAGTGTCCCAATGTCAGGGTAGAGCAAGAGCAAAAGAAGTTTTCTGCAACATTGTGTTTTGTTGTTCTGTTTTGCTGTTTACTTGTTATTTTTATTTCTATATATGTTTGGTTGGTTTGTGTATTTATTTGCACCTTGTATATTGTTTCACCCAGTATTCATCTTTACCCCTTATCCCATTTATACTGCTAACATAAATAATCCCCTGTCATCTAGTAGGGTAACAGGACTTTCGAGTCCTGCCTGGGTGCTAGTCAGAGGAAGGAGAAGGAGACTCTCTTTCTTGCTCACCTTGACCCGGAAGTGATACACATTCATTTGCTCATCGTCCATGGTAAGGAATAGTGGCATGGTCCCCACCTAGATGCAGGGTGTGCCTTGGCAGGGCAGCCACTGTTTAATGATAACTTTATACTTTGGAAGAAATGCACACATTTTTTAATTTTTTTACTCTCACTTTCAGTACATTTATTTTTTCCAAAGCTATTCCCAGCACCACTCCAGGGTCCAATACATGCATATATGTAAACCTCTGAGGGAGTCTCAATCCTTTGGATCAGAATATTATTCAGGGGTGGGGAAAAAAGACTCCACCAGAGCCACTGCGTGCAGTGAAATGACTATTGGTTTTTGTATTGTAATATACATGGAGCTGGAGCTACTGGAGCTATCTTGAAACCAGAATTAGAATGGAAATGTGGAAGTCGGGTCTGAGAAATGGACCAAAGAAACTGGATACCAATGATATTTTTATTTTCTGAATCAAGTTATATCTGACTCTGGAGTGTTCATTTACATGAACTAAAATAATTTTCCATTTTATTTTCGTTCAATTTCAGTTGAAACATTTTTTACTTGTAACTTTATATTTTTTAACTGGCACACACCATTTAAATTTTTAGTTGGGGGCAACAGATACTACTTTAGGAAAGAAAGAAGGTATTGAATGTACTGAAAGCTACAATGATTACAATAATAGCAATTTATTACTTGATTTATTGATTGAAACCAGGTCATCAGTAGCATTTATGTGTTTAAAGTAGTTCACTTTTGGAGCAGTAAATATATAGACCCCTTGGTATAGTGGTATGCTGGGAAATGTTTAACAACTGGCTCTCTATTATTCACACACGAACACTATCTGGTGTTTTTGTTTACATTAATGCGGGAGAAAAAAGTGAAATGACACAGACATGTATTCGAATGTAGCTTGTTTTTTTAATGACATCGTGACTTTTTTACTCAGTCAGATAATAGTTCTCAAATACTGGAAACATTTCTCAATTTTTGTGCTATTTATAATTAAATAGCTACAGATGCAGTACAGTTTTGTTCAACCTGTATTACAGATGTTTTCTCCATCACTTTTCTTTACGTCTAGACACTCAAAACAGTGAGTAACACCTTAATTTTTAGCTTTTGATCATTTCTCCTACCATGAGAAATACTCCTACCATGGTCAATTTTAAATTATCAAGGTGAAGCCACTAAATGCTCTTTGAGGTAGCAAAAAAATCTGTTTTATTCTTAGTTCATAAAATCTCAAATCAGTAAATGAAAGTATTAAGTCCACCATATCAATCAATGCCTCGTATTTCATATAAAGCTTAAAACATCTCCCTCCCACTGTCCAAATGTAGAACCAGTTACAAGGAGCCATCTGCTACTGGGAAAAGAGAGGAGGTATAGTCAGCTTTTCTCATTCTTGCTTTCCTCGTCTCACACTTACTGCAGTTTCTGACCTTCCAAGGGAACTTGATGGTTGTAAAACTGGTACTATTGTAAAAAGGTTTCAGGTCTCTGAGCCTAACAGATGTCAAAGGTATTTCTCTTTATTATGGGCACACTGATTGTTCCCTAATAGCCCCATTAGAATAATAGACCAAATTTCCCCTGATGAGGATATTTTTTTCTTCCTCTATCTGGTGCCTTTCCAAGCTTGATTGGTTCCTATTTGTTTTTTATTAATTTGTCTGTTTGGGTAGTGTACTTCCTTACATAGACTCTTTCTGTTGCGGGGGTCTCATGAGGATTTAAAGTGACTCCAAGCTGACTCTCTCCCGCATAGCTCTCCTCTCTTCCGTGGAAAAACACTTGTATATATTTTTTATCCATATAAACTCTGAAAATGAAATCCAAAAGCCAGTCCCAACATAACTTTAACTCTTCTTTGCTCTGACAAACCCATCTCTTCTTATCTTTTGGATTTCCCAGACAGGAATCAGATACCATTCCATCTTGCTGGGCTCACTGCTGGAAACACATATCAAGTTCAAGTAGCCTGTAGAATTAAGCTGAGGAGCTGACATCCCCCCTCCTCCCAAACCTTTCTTTGGGTAGTGTGTGTGTGTGTGTGTGTGTGTGTGTGTGTGTGTGTGTACGTGTACATGTACCTGTGCAGGTAATACTGGGACAGCTTTTTACGAAGAAATCTTCCACATAGCATCCTTTGTCGCTCTCAAAGCTCTTGACCCTCTTATGTCCTCACAGTGTGTTCAGGAGATGGATAACTAATTTTTGACAACATCCTTTGTAAGTTCTGCATATGATCTAGTAATTACTTTGAAATAGAGCCTCTATTAGATTTTAGTACTTAAAACAAAACTTCCATTTTTGCACGTTATTACACCATAAATGTGGGTACCATCATAGAATTTTTCCAATCTACTATCAAAAAAATCTGTTCTCGTATCTTGTATTCAAACAAAGAAAAATTATACACATGTGCGTATGTGTGTGTGTCTTTTTGGTACATGCATGTATCTTACATTCATCATATTTTAAAAAAAGAAAATATAGATTGACAAAAAATCATAAAAGATAAAACAAAATGCATCCAAAATCCATCTTCCAGGAAAATTTGCTTTGCATATTTTATTTTGGTCCCATGAAAATAAAAATATACAGATAAATAGACCCTCTTGCATCATCCCATAACACCTGTGTTTTTGTACCTCCCCTACTCACTTTATGTATTATGGTCATCCTTCCCTGTCAGCAAGTAGAAACCATTTTAATTTTAATGGCAGCATGTGTCCTAGTTCATGAATATGTTTTTCCTGAACTAATCCTCTATCACTGAATATCTGGGTGGGGTTTTTGTTTCTATATAAACTACACTGCTATGAACAAATTATGTGTGTATCATTTATGTTTATTTATTTCCTTAGAAAGGTATACATCTTTCGTTAACCAGATGAGATTGCCTGTTTTGGTGTGTGTTTGCATTTTAACAGGCATTAAGCCTTAAGCCGAAGGTAAACGTTTCTAAAATAGAAATTTTGGTATCAGTTAAAAGGGAAGGGATATATCTAGGGGACATATCCCTATCTGTTTTCTTGAGAAATATTAGTAATTAGAAAATTGCCTATAACTGCCTACTCATGAATCTGAGTCAAATTCTGTATGATACTCATATGATAAGCTCCCCTTTACTTATATTTTGGCAGATAGTCTAAAACCAAGAAATATTTCTAACAATAGCCATTTTCAGTGATCTATAGCAATTCTAGATGCTTATGTAAAATACATTTAAACTTCTCACACTTGCTAAATTAGCTTAGCAATCTTATCTAGCAATTTTTCTCTGTATTACATTGGTTCAGTCTTCTGGATTGTTCTAAAAATTGTTTGCCAGTGGATTATGAAATAAACAAGTACAGAAGAGAGCCAAAATAGAAGTGTAATGTTATCTTCTTTTTTTTCAAAGTTCAGTACAGGTTCAGAAAAAGTGTGCAGGGTTTTGAAAATAACATAGCTAAGGTATTTCATTATTTCATCCCTCCTAGTTCTGAGGATACCCAGCACATTTTAGAGAAATACAACAATGATGTAGAACATACATACTTTTGTTTTTCTGGAAACGCACATTATAAGTGATTTGCTTGAGAAAAAAATTGCATTATAAATGTAGACAAGTTTTTAAAAAATGTAACTGCACTAATGATAACAAGCTGAAATTCTACTCTTATCTAACATTGAGTCTCAGTTTACCTTTGGTAAAATAGTATTGAAGGTGACTGCTTGAAGACTAAGAATTTACACTTTTAGAAAGTAATGATCTAGATTATTGAGCACAATGCACAAAATTGCAAATTTATTTTATGATCAAAAGGTGGGAATTTAAAAAAATTAGACTTAAAATTATTCAACGTAACCACCTTTAAAAGTGATCTGAATACATTTTCTCTTGACTAAGATTGCTTGTGTATGTGGTTTGTTTAAAAAATGTAAATAAATAAAACCAACAGCAACAAAAAGAAAACTCAAATTATTTCTGTTGTTGAAAAAAGGTAAATTCCCTGTGATATGTGCATGTACAATAAAAAATAATAAAAATCAGGTCAAGGCAACTTTTAAAAATTAGTTGCTTAATATTTAGAAAGCAGTGTTTTGCTAAATATATGATATCACTGAATGGTACCTCTCGGCATAAACCTTTCATAATAGGTATTATTGAAGGGGAAAAAAGTGATCCTGTGCCTTTAATTTCCCTTTCTGGGAGAGGGAAGGCTGCACACCACTGACAGGCTCACTTGTTCCCGTCTTTAATGTGCAATCTGTTTTCTCCAGCGGAGGGCACTCAGTGTATCACAAACTCAAGCATTAGCACCAACAAGCTCTGAGCATCATCAGTCTCTGGAAAGCCTTCTGAATTAGACAAGGGCTGCCTCTCAGCACAGCTACAAAACACTTTAAACCTGACCAGCTAAATGGATAAACCTAGCCTGCATAGCTTTTAAACTGGGGTCTCATACAGCACAGGAGGCCTACTTGCTTCAAGAACTGAAAATCCAGAGGATGAATTGCTTTATCTGGGGATGGCAAAAGCCAGCACAATAAGGAATGCCAGGTATTCTGAAGATTTTCTTTTTCTTTTCTTTTTTTTTTTTTTCCTCCTCTCTTTTTACAGAGAAGTTGGTTACCTCTGAGACGTGCTGTAGCTCTTCTGCACAGATTGCCAATTACTGCTGATGGGTCTCTGGTGACTTACACAATGGTCCTCAGAGCCTAGGACTTCCCCCCCACCCCCCACGGCTTCCTTATCCCTGCCCCCATGCCAGCCCTTGCTGATTTTTTTTTCATATATGTATATATATATTTTTTTGCCTGTCCTCTCCGGGGAAGTTTGTATGGGGCTGCTAGCTCACATGCGGGATCCGAGCGAGCGGTGTGAATGACAGCCGCACTGTGTCATGAAGGTGGTGATGCTTTCAGCCCTGGAGACCAAATAAGAAGAAAGCTGAGAGGGGGGGAGCCGTTTTTTTGGATGACAAAGGATGGGTAAGTGAACTTTTGTTGTTTTCTTCTTAGCAAAGCTGATCGCCTCGGCTTCCTATCCTCAGTCGTGGCATCAGCTGAGAAAAGACGGGGAACAGGCAAAAAGCAGCAGCCCCTGAGTTTTCCAGTTGACTCACTATAGTTGCTATTATATTTTTAGATCATTTTCCTTTTCATAGTTTTTTTTTATTTTATTATTATTTTTTAATTTGTAAATGCGTAACACGGATTTAGACTGGAGAGAAATAATCTTTAAAACTGTCTCTTCTGTATGCGTATGCACAGCTTGGGAATTGAGCATGAGATAAACACTGTGTTTGCTTCTATTTCTTGATAATATTAACCACGCTTGTATTTCTTCTGGTCACTGTCAGGAAGATTGTTACCACTTTACCATGTCTGTAGGGGTGGGGTCGCTACTTTATCAGAGGTCGCACAAGGGCTTATCTTATCTTTGAAGCTGTATCCTGAACACGGCTTCTAAATTTCCAGCAGTCATTTGCCAGTCTTATTTTTTCAAGTGTGACTGGCTTTCTCTCCCTACCCCCACCCCCCCTTCTCCTGTCTGGGAGAGCTGGAATGTATTTCAATGAGTCTGGAGCTGGCAAGAGGACAGAAAGCAAGAAGATCAGGTTTCAAATAGAAAAAAAAAAACACAAAAAAAAAACTTAACCAGCTGAGTAAAAGGAGAGTTTTTTGTTTCTTGTTTTTTTTATTTTTTATTAGGGCTTTGGCTGATTGCCTCTTGGTTAAAAATATGAATATTTAAGAGAAATAAAGAAACCGCAGCACACAGTAGTTTTGGGGGTTTTTTCCTACCATTAAGCAATAATAAATCTACTGTTGACAGAGGAAAGAAGTCCCTTTAGATACTATGACTCGGAAATGCAGCGTAAGTGCAATAGATTCCAACTTTGCAGGTTTCCTGAAGTTAATGCAGGTTTCCTGAAGAAGTTAATGGAGGTAGGGGAGGAAAAAAAAAGTCAGTGAGAAATTTGAGCAGGTTGGGATGGGGGGAAGGGAGTGGTAGTTTGTGGCTTCTCCACTTGTTTATTCCCCACATTTGCAAAAGCAACTGTGCTAAAAATAACAGTAAAGCTAATACTACGCAAGATTCTTTTGCATTTTATGCAAATATTTAATAGGAATGTGATGATCTTAACTTTGGCGTGTTCTGTGTAATCACTAGTCAGGGCTCTGGGTGGCTGTATCACTGGGCAGGAGAGCCACAGACAGTGGCTCCTCCTGAATGTTGAAAGCACATATGCTTATTAACACATTGCAAGTACCTGGCACTGTTATCAGTCTTCATACCATGCTTCATTGGCTGCCCATGTTAGTCCCAGTGCTATTTTTTCAGAGCTCATATATTGTTTTTCCATTATGCAATAAGGTTACAATTTCAGGCAGGGCAAACTTGGGTTACCTTGATAGCTTCCTGGTGCTCTTTTGCCAAATCACAGCCTGCTTGTTCAACTAGGGAAGATGTACAAGTAAGGGGTTTAGTAAGTCCCATTTTTGCCATTCCCAGAAGACTTAGCATTCTTCCTTTTGGTACTGGTCTTCCACAGAGTGACTAGCCACATATTATTGTTATTAAAGCGTCGTCATTAAGTGATACGACAGGCTCTGTGCTTTTCAGTGTTGATGTGCACATGAACTCCTGAAACTCGGGAAAGCTTTTCTGGGTTCTCCAGCTTTGTGGCGATTTGCACATCAAGGAAGAAAGAATGAAACCTAAATAGCAAACATGCAACACTGAACACAACAAGGCTTTAACACGTGAGACACTTTGTTCTTAAATCAACTGTCCCATTACTATACGAGATGAAACGCCCCTGATATTGGTAAGCTCGTGGTGATTTATATTAATAGCTTTACAGTGTGCATTTGTTTTCTTTTAACGTTGTAGGTTTCCGTTTAATTACGCAGCTGAGAGGCATGCGTGTGGTGCTAGTGCTACTTTCTACACTGCTGCTTGTTATGCTCACGGGGGCTCAGAGAGCTTGCCCAAAGAACTGCAGATGCGATGGCAAAATTGTGTACTGTGAGTCTCATGCTTTCGCAGATATCCCAGAGAACATTTCTGGAGGATCACAAGGCTTATCATTAAGGTTCAACAGCATTCAGAAACTCAAATCCAATCAGTTTGCCGGCCTTAACCAGCTTATATGGCTTTATCTTGACCATAATTACATTAGCTCAGTGGATGAAGATGCATTTCAAGGCATCCGTAGACTGAAAGAATTAATTCTAAGCTCCAACAAAATTACCTATCTGCACAATAAAACCTTTCACCCCGTTCCCAATCTCCGCAACCTGGACCTCTCCTACAATAAGCTTCAGACATTGCAATCGGAACAATTTAAAGGCCTTCGGAAGCTCATCATTTTGCACTTGAGATCCAACTCATTAAAGACGGTGCCCATAAGAGTTTTTCAAGACTGCCGAAATCTTGACTTCCTGGATTTGGGTTACAATCGTCTTCGCAGCTTGTCCCGAAATGCTTTTGCTGGCCTCCTGAAGTTAAAGGAGCTCCACTTGGAGCACAATCAGTTTTCCAAGATCAATTTTGCTCATTTTCCACGTCTCTTCAACCTCCGCTCAATTTACTTACAGTGGAACAGGATCCGCTCCATTAGCCAAGGCTTGACATGGACTTGGAGTTCCTTACACAACTTGGATTTATCAGGGAATGACATCCAAGGAATCGAGCCGGGCACATTTAAATGCCTGCCCAATTTGCAAAAATTGAATTTGGATTCCAACAAGCTTACCAACATCTCACAGGAAACTGTCAATGCGTGGATATCATTGATATCCATCACTTTGTCTGGAAATATGTGGGAATGCAGTCGGAGCATTTGTCCTCTATTTTATTGGCTTAAGAATTTCAAAGGAAATAAGGAAAGCACCATGATATGTGCAGGACCTAAGCATATCCAGGGTGAAAAGGTTAGTGATGCAGTAGAAACCTATAATATCTGCTCTGAAGTTCAGGTGGTCAACACAGAAAGAGCCCACCTGGTGCCCCAAACTCCCCACAAGCCTCTGATCATCCCTAAACCTACAATCTCCAAATCTGACCCCACCCAGCCCACCCTTGAAACACCAAGCCCCTCCCCAGGGTTTCAGATTCCTGGGTCCGAGCAAGAGTATGAGCATGTTTCATTTCACAAAATCATTGCAGGGAGCGTGGCGCTCTTCCTCTCGGTAGCCATGATTCTCTTGGTTATCTATGTGTCTTGGAAACGCTACCCAGCCAGCATGAAACAACTTCAGCAGCACTCTCTTATGAAGAGGCGGCGGAAAAAGACCAGAGAGTCTGAAAGACAAATGAATTCCCCTTTACAGGAGTATTACGTGGACTACAAGCCTACAAACTCTGAGACCATGGATATATCCGTTAATGGATCTGGGCCCTGCACATATACCATCTCTGGCTCCAGGGAATGTGAGGTATGAACCATGATCCTCCTAAAAGCATTTCTACTGCGGGGAAGGAGAGGTAAATGTTTGAAGCACTAGAGGTGTCTCTAATCACTAGAAAGATTAATGACCCTTTTGCTTTTGGGTTTTGCTCAGTGTGAAAGGTTACTTAATTAAATTACAACCACCAGGAATTGACTGGTTTTTTTTTTCTTGCTTTTTTTTTTTCCCCCTTTATGGTTGAAATTTGAAGGAAGTTCATTCAAGGATGAGATTAAGTTGGAATAAAGCACTATGTTACAACATCTGGTTTTTTAATTTTTTTTTTATTTTTAGCAGTTTGTATACATGGGTTGGACTTAACACACATCTACACAAACAAAATTCTTTTATTCTAAAATTTATGTCTGGTTCTTGTTGTTTGACTTTTGTAATGGAGTAAAGGAGGGGTCAGATTAATTTAAAAACAAAGTGATTTTACCAAAATTCCAGGAGGTAATGACGATTTAAACCAAAGAGCAATTTACCCAAGGGTTGATTTTGTTGTACATTTTAGTTTTTAATTAAAGCATGCAACAGGGATCTCACAGGGATAACTGTTTTTGTGTTACTTGCCATTTAGTTATTATACCAGCGTAGAGAATGTCAGAGGCCCACTGTGTAATAGTATTAGGCTTTTAAAGATGTCTGTCTTCCTCCCTTTCTTCCTTCTTCCCACTTTCCCCCTTCCCCTTCACTGCCATCCATTTATTCCTCCTTCCCTCCCTCCCTCCTTCCCTTCCTCCCCCACTTCCTTCCTTTTCTTTTTTTTTTTTTTTAATTACTGGACATAGATCACTTTTCAAAGGTTTTCTGAAGTGCTGGCTATTTGTATGTAATCAGAATGAAACTTAAACTCCATGTTTTGACTTTGTCCGTGGAAACTAAAATCAGGTCATGATGTCGTGGATGATTTAGCAATAACATAATGACAGGCATAACAGGGACTGTCTGTCAGTGTTGCTGTCATCCCCAAAAGAAATGATGTGTATTCTTGTTAAACTTACCCAAAACTAAGTGTTACAAATATTTATAAATAAAAAGAGAGAGATTTGAGTTCTGGGTATTTTTCCCTTTCTGTAATATTAGCCTCACATGAGGACATTTCATGTTATACTATTTTCATTTTCATGAGAAGAAGTTTGGAACCAGTTTCTGATTATTAATTTAAAGATCACTTATAGGAACATGTTTGTGAATAGTCATAATAGTTAAAATAGTCACATATTTCAACCTGCTAATAAGTATTACCAGTTGCAAATAATTATTTTCTTGGTAAAGTTGACCAAAAAGTGCAAAGACTGACGGCCGGGGCCTTGTTGCTGGAATAAACTAGAAAAGAGAGGTAACTTTCTGGCACGATGTCATCTTAGTATCCAATATCAGATACTACTTTTTCAAAAGAAAGTTTTAATGAGTATTTGAAGATGGCCTACTTTAATACTAGTTATAACAGCTGGAAAATATAATTTGCTCTTAGATAATATACCCAAATCTTTCCATACTTTAAATGCAGATGCTAATGAAAATGTTCTCAGACAAAGCAATGAGTTTGAAATAATCTCCAACTCAGTATAATTTGGAATATTGAGCTATTCTTCAGAGTTCAGTTTCTCCTTTTTTGTCCATGATGGAAAATGAGAAAAGTAATCCTAGATAATAAATCCTTAAAACAAACCTGCACACACAATTGCTCTTAAAAATTAGAGAATAAAATATTTTATGTAAAATCTAACAAGGCTTGATGCTTTTATTGTAGGTTGACATTTATACAATATATGTGAATATTAGTAAAACAAATTCATCCTGTTTTACTCTAGATTCTTTTGATAGTTTGAGATCCTTTTAAAAGCTAGTAATATAAGAAGGAAAGAAAAATCCAGATCCCTTCATTCATTTTCTCTTGACTTTTGTAGTAAAATGGTGATTTCTATTTATAAGAATCCCCCCAAAAGAAGAAAGATTCTTGAAGAACTAGGATTGAGAACAGTGGCTTTAAAACCTTTTCAGAGATCCTAAATTCCAGAGATTATTCCTTCAGAGACCACAGACATTATCATAATAGGAACAAAATAAAAACCTACGTTAGTCCGTAAAACACACAGCTTGAAAACACATTTTGATATTATATGTTATGTAGAATGGAGTTTATCATCAGGAAATTGCAGTGACATTGTTGGGGATGAACAATGAACATGGTATTTAGGTGTTAAGTAATGAAGAATTTAGTTAAATATTGTACTGATGCTATTGACTCAAAACGGCAGTCCTACTGAAGTACGTCAAACTCTCCATGCCTGAAAAGGGGAAAAAGGGTAGGCTATACATTTAAGACCATAGCTTCACTTTTGAGTGTTAGGGGTCCAATAAAGCTACATATAAATGAACATTAATTTGGTTTGAATCACAAACACACAAAAACAAACATGACTGCCACCACTCTCTCTTTCTGACAGGATGTGCAGCGTATTACAGTTATAGGTGGATATAAGATATGAGAAAAAGCAAATTCTTAAACTTGTTATAAAAGACCATAATTTTCTCTTCTTTGTCATGTTGGAGTAAAATTCCTCCTGTTGAGAAAAGTTTTCTACAAAATGAAGTCAAGAGAAAGGAAAGATTGCCCAAGATTATGCTTTTTTAGGATAGTAGAGGTATGCTTGGTTTTAGTCTGGTGTTGTTTTCATAAACCTTACATATCAACAGCTTAGAAAAATAGATTTATAATACAATTTTGTGAAGTAGCTTTTTCTTTTTAATTCAAAATGTCAAACAATACCCAATAAAGCCATAAATATTTAACTAGGAAACTTAGCACAAAATGCTAATTTTCTAAGAGTAGTGCCTTGAAAAAAATTTTATTAAACTGAAAATTCCACTTATACACTGATGTTATATTCAGTTATCATGATCTAACTATAGTTAAAATATTAATTTTGTCTATTTCTTTTGAGAAGAAAATAAAATATTAAGATTTATGGTTAGAATGGTGTTTGTGACCCCCTCTCCCCCGCCGGCACAAATATAGCATGCGGTTTACAAAGTGTATAACTGATTCTATTCTTTACAAGTTTTAATTTTGAAAAATCCATGTGTACATCCTATGCTAATAAATTGAAGGAGAATATTATAATAACTTAGGCAGTAAAAACCTCTTATATCTATAAAAGAGGAATAGAGTAGATAGTTATGAATAATTAATATGATATATGGCACAACTCTAATAGATACATACATCTCAAGCATCATACTTTGAGTGGATCAGTGTGTTCAGTTGGACTGAATCATTTAATTTGTCCTCAATATGTGCTCAGTAAAGAGACCTTAATGCCAAAAGGATACAGTTTTGCCTAAAACTTAGGTGTCATTAAAAGAGAAAATTGCTAATACTTACTTACTTTTGAAAATAACTTGTGAACTTGACATAGCTTTATCTCACTAAAAATATTACAGGAATTATGAAATTACTTCATTCTATATACCAAAATTACATGTAAAGATTATATAGGAGACATTTTTGAAAATTTGGTTCTTCCAGGATATGTTTATCAACTGAAAATCACAACAACATTTATCAAATAAGTCATTTCAAGTTTGTCTTTTGAATTAAAAAAATGAAATTGGTAAAACCTTAATATGAATGAAAGTGGTCTCTAAAGAGATCCTCTATCTAGGGTTTTTAAAAGTAAAGTAATTAAGATATAAAGTTTAATGATCCTGTAAAATGCTAGCAGTGCTGTCATTAGGAAAATGGGAGTATAGGTGACATTAGATATATATTTTCCAAATACCTGATATTTTGGTTATACTCTTCAAAATCATGTAAAATATAAATATATGGGTTATTTTGGGCTTATATTATTTCTTTCACTGCTGTGCAGTGGGTGGTATAGACCATTTCTAACAGTTTACATTTATATTTATTGAATGTGTTAGGTCAGGTCCAAATTGTTGATTTAAGGGTTTATTAACATCTCCCTAAACTTTAGAAATTGACATTTTGAAGTATACTGAATGAATTTCTAAGAACTGGAAAAGCGTAATATGTTCAAAGAGGATTCTAAGTAAAGCAGGATGAGTATCATAGAGTTTTACACTTTACCAATATAAAGCTATAGAAAATAAACTTTATTTTAATTATATATATACTGACTATTGTATCATGTGAAAATATTATAATTGAAAGTATACTTTGTATATTCATATAAAGCATATTTATGTGTGTATATATGTGTGTGTTTGTAAGTATGTGTATGCGTTCATATACTGAGAGAGAGACTATAAATGTATTGCCATTAAATTTTTTGTCCATTTTGAAGATTTGAAGTATTAGTGAAAAATAAGGGTTAAAATTACCAGAATCTGTATGTCAGGAGCATACTTCTTAAGATAAATGTTGAATCTCTCTAAAGTTCCAAGTATCTTATGTCTAGATTGTCTAATATTCTTTTTTTAAAAAAAAACAACAGATTTTAAACTACACATTGCCATTTTTGGTGTGACTTTGGACTAGTTACTTCATTTCTCTGCGACCCATCACTTAAGAGTGTATTCAACTAGCATAATATATTCCAAATCAAAACAATTCCTCAGAGTCGTCAACTCTGTAAAATTTCTCTGATCATTCCCAGAACCACAAGAGGAAGATGGATATACTAAAAAAACTGAGCGATTTATATTCATTGTCAATGAGAAAAGAAAGAACTTCTAGAGTTAATAAAACAAATAGCCCATTTACGTGAACAGCCAAATAATTTCTTTGTGCTTGAGGGGAAAGTACCTAACACACAGGCACGTTTTCACACACGTGCACACATGAGAAGACACACACAAATGTAAAAATCTTTTAAATTCTGCCAAATAACTAGTTATTTTGAAAGTATTTAAAATATGACTTCTTTTTAAAAAATCTATAGTCTGAATTTGATCCAATTAAAATCTATCTGTGACTAGAGTTTTCATTAGAATCTGCAGATGGTAGTGGTGAAGAC